CCAAAATGCCTCTGTTGACGCGCCGTCCCCACAAATCCAGTTTGGCTTTAAATGCAGCTACTTTATCTGCCAACTTGAAGACAGTTATCATTTTCCCCTGAAGGGACAGATTGAGTTCATTGAGCAGGCTGAATATGTCCACAAGTAAGCTAGTTTTGGCGCTCAAGTGACCGAGATGTAACCGAGAGAATGCGGTCATTTTTCAAAATAAAAGATCGTTCAGACTCGGATAATAAATAAAACGGAAATAATTAATGATTTCTTGTGCGGCCCGGTACCAATTGATCCACGGACCGGTACTGGTCCGCGGCCCGGGGGTTGGGGACCACTGATTAATTACACCCCCTTTTCCAACATGATAATGTGATCTCACTTACCACTTTGACCTTGTCCCAGCCTAGAAAATTTACACATTACTGCAGAGAAAAGATTGGACATACCTCCTTTAAACAGTCTTCTGTGACACTCTCTGTATACTGTGTCATGAGGTTAAGACTGCCTCACACACAGATTATTGAGACAATCGAGTAATCTAGCAACTTGCGAATGTGAATATTGGTACAACCCTCAGATAAGTGTCCTTGGGAAAGATATCTAATGCTGTATTTGCCTGTCTTCATTATGAATACAGTGCAATAATTTCTCTGGGCTGGATTCTCTACAAAATGCTGTAAATGTACTGTGTATTCTCATTGATGTTTCAATGCAAATGTAACCAAAACCTGCTCTGTGCATTTCTCTTTATGGATGTACTTGAGAGTAAATTTAGATGGTTCAAATATTCGATTCTTCTTGCAAAGGAAGACCACTTATAAAATGAAAACATGTTTTATTTAATAGTGGAGTGTAACAACAGTTGGAAAACATGAAAATGCTGAATGAGAGACAGTGGTGTGCCTGCTGCTGGGATCACCTTCATTTGTCATCAAGCAGATGAATTGGCTTATGTGTCACAAAAGTCTAATGTTTAATGTGCATCTGAATATTGAGAATCCTGAAAATGTAGTGAATGATTTTGACATAACACTTTTTGCTTATCCAAATAGTCTGTCTAATCACTTTCTACACCCACTTATTTTGTTTAGGTTTGAAAAGGGGATGGAGCTTATTCCGGCATGCATTGTACATCCTGGACAGGTCATAAGTCTGTCACAGGTTACATAGTTTGATTAAAAAAAAAAGAAAAAAAATGTCTGTCTTTGTTTAGTATGGGCGATACATCCGTGCCTTAGTGCGCAAAGAGAAGGGTCTACCCATGATGACTGAGCTGCTGGCCCATGGCAACGACCGTGTGGTCCATGCCATGTCTGGAGCCCTCCGCAACCTGGCTATTGATGCACGCAACAGAGATCTATTAGGTGAGACTTGGAGTGATTTCGGTGTTTGTGTTTCAGGAAGTCATGTAATCTAAAAGTACTGGACTTATATCAACAGGATAGGGCAAATATTTAAGTGTGCTTTAATGTTTGACCTCTTGTTGTGTCATTAGGTAAACATGCGGTGCCCCATCTGGTGGCTGACCTGCCTGGTGGTGGTCAGAGTCAGCCAGTGCGAGCGCTGTCCGAAGGGACAGTGGTGTCGGTATTGAGCACGCTCCAGGAGGTGCTGGGCTCTAGTCTGGAAGCAGCAAAGACCCTCAGGGCCTCACAGGGCATTGAGAGATTGGTGCTCATTAACAAGGATGGGTGAGGGCTGATGGACTTCTTTTTTTTAGATGATTTTCTGTCCTTGTCTCCAAATTGGTAGCACACTGAATTTTCTGTTTTGAATAACCTGCCTTCACCCCTCACCACCTCTTTACCACTGGGATCACCAGTAATCGTTCTGAGCGGGAGGTGCGTGGAGCCGGCCTGGTGCTGCAGACGGTGTGGGGCTACAAGGAGCTGCGGCGCACTTTGGAGAAGGACGGTTGGAAGAAGACAGACTTCATGGTCAACCTAAACCCTCCCAACAACACCATCCGGACCAATGGCGGATATGAGGACAGCACTCTGCCGCTCATAAACAAAGGTCAGGAATCAAAGTGTGCAACTCTTCAAGCCCCAACAGCGCCAAGTTAAAGTGATGAAATCAAATCAGTAGTGTCTCAACACCTAGCTCTTCTGTCCAGTTAAAGGATTGTTTCCACACAAGTCTGACTCTGACTTGTATTTCACCAACACTCAGTAAACCTCTCCTAGGTCTACAAACTACTGTGGCAGTGTTGCAAAGAATCCACACTTGTGACAGTTTCTCTGAATGTTTGTGTGTGTGTGTTGCACTTCAGAGGTAGTTCCAGTAATATGATAATGGAATTTTGTAAACTTATGTGAATTAAATTGGATTTGCAATTAATTGCGTCTGTCTCAACCTGCTTGGCGTGTTTAGGGTTTAGTACATCTGAACATGTCGGATAATCCCCACTAGGGTTGTCCATCACCACAGTGCATAGTACATTTTCTTTTAATAGGGATTTTTAAGCTCTCTGGCACTGATTTGTAAGTTTCCCTAACCTCACCTGTCACACAACAAGCTAATGTAAATTATGTATATGTAAATGCATGATGGGTCATGATACCAAACAGTTACACACCTATACACTCTTCTATCTTTGGCAGGAGATGCTCCAGTTGCCTCTCTGAGGGAATAGAAACCTTTAACGTGACAGAGAAACAGTGATGTTGATGTTCACTTTGTGTTTCACTCACAGGTGGCAAAGGGGACCGAGAAACGATTCCAATGAATGACATGGGACCAGGTAGGTGTGAGAGCAGAAAACATTCACATAACACCTGATCAGAATCACACATGGCTAATGAGAAATGCGCATTTATAACAGATGATACTTTCTCACACACACCTCAGATTAACATGCTTTTCTTCTCCAGATGCCTATTCCACACTGGACCAGAGAGGGAGAAAGAACACTCTGGACAACACACTCGAACCTGCTGACAAAGATGTCGTACAGGTATATGCTGGCCACATGTGCGCACATGGCCCTGCTTGATTGCACCTTAATGAGAATTACTTCACTTTCTTACTCCTAACAAACTCTACCGCATACTTGCTACATTCCTTTCCTGACTCCAATGTCAGAGGTATTTTAGAACATGTAATTGTGAAAATAGTACAGACAAGACCATCATTTAGGAGTTTTAAATACTTCCTGTAGAGTAGAACTTGACAGGATGGTACTTCCCCCATTTACAAATAGGGTTTGCGTCGTGAAACAGTTCCTGTTGATTCAGCAGAAGTCAATGTGGAGTCTCCTGTCGCAAAGCTGGGTGTAGATAGGGAGAGGTAGAAAAAAGGTGAATTATCTAGAATGCACTTATCATGAAATCTGGAAGCTCAGAAGGTACACAGCAACCTCACTTACAGTTCAGAAAAAAGTGCGTGAACGATCACATTCTTATACACGCCCACAGACAGCATGTTGATGCACGTCTCTTTAGAGCACTGTGGTTGATGTCTTGCACATAATTTCTCACCGGTGTTCTTTTTTGGCCCCGAAACATGACCTAACATTGAACTAACTTTCTATAACCCTTCCTTCTTTTTCACCTGATGCCTTATTTCCCTCTACTTTACTCTATCCTGTTGTCTGTTTCCTTCTTTTACATGCTTTGGACGCTTAAACATCTTTTTCCTTCCTTAACTCACCCCCTCCTTGCTTTGTGCCTTGTTTCTCTCTCTCTCTCTCTCTCTCCTTCCTCTCTCTGGCTTTGTCTATCACACTATTTTTTTGTCTCTCTCTCAGGGAGGGATGTATGGGGAGAGGCGGGCCTCTTTGCCTCTAATGGAATCTTACGATGGTTAGGCTACACCCATTGTCATACTGCATGTCAACGCATGGTATGTGTGTCCCACTGGCTGCTCCTCTCAATTCACTGCATGGCCTAATATCTTAGTTGTATTAAGAACTGTGACTATTTGTGTGTTTGATAGTGACCGGTGTTGTCAGTGAGCTCCCATTGTACTGTATTTGGGCTGTTTTTTCGCCCCCTGCTGGTGCATAGTGTCACAGATTTTTGTTCTCCACTAATGTGATTTTTATTTTTTCCTCTCTGCACAGTTTGTGTATGTTTTTGTCTGTGTGGTGACTTTGTTGCCCACAGCCACTATGGAGTATTGTATTTTGTACTTGTGTGAATCAAAAATGTGCTATTCTTCCCACCTGGGCATGAACACCTCACATTAGCTGCTCAACATGATCAATTCCCACACTTTTCTTCTCTTCTAGAAAAATTGATTGTATGCATCACAAGACGACAGCCTCCTCCCACCTACTGTCCTTGCTGAACTGACAACGGGGAACCACTACACTATCGATGGGACTAAACTCCATCCTTTACACTCAACTCTTCTTTCCCTCTTTACTTCTTATGCAGATTCTCTTCTTTCTCTTTGCTACATTCCTTAATTACAGCTGACACACTAATGAAACCACATGAGAAACTGACGTGGATCTACGCCCCCTGTGGACAACCGGATATGACACTATGACCACTTTGAGTTCTGCGAGTCCCTAAGCTCTGAAGAGAAAACACTAACCACTCAGATACTGTGGCCACAACACTACATCTCCATGCAGCAACACTATGACTTGCCTGGACAGCACTAAAGGTCTCCTGAATAAAAAGAGACTGTGGCTTCATCTGAAGACTTTTGTAATTCTTGGAGGTTGCACCATAGACTAAAATAAAGGGACTGTTTATCAGAACCTTTTGCTAAAATTTTACAAAAATGGTTATTACACTGTTCTGAAGAAATTGGAAGGTATATCATGTTTTCCTTTTCCCTTTCTCTGATAATTTAAATGCTAAAAAAAAAACAAACAAAAAAAAAACCTACCAATGAAAACCAGGGTTTAAAGATCTGGTCAGATATGTGTAAAGTTTGTTTTGGTTGTGCTTTTTTGCTTCTTGCTTTGCTCTGTACCACAGTAATGTACACGTGCCAAATGACACTGCTGTGACTGCCAGTTATGAATGCAAGAACTTCACTCACTCAGACTTTCTGCAGCGACTACGCTTAAAATTGTCATCTGCTTTGTGTCGGTGACAGATCATTGCCAAGGTGCATAGGGGTGGTGCATTTTCTGTATTTGACTGTAATGCATAGATATAGCGTACAGAAATAGAGCAGACAAGTTATTCTTCACCTGCTAGAATAGACAGTATAGTCTGTGCTATGTTTCTATCCTTTTGTTAAATGTATGCTCCTTAACCTTTGTAATTCATGGGACATATCACAGGATTCAGCAGGTGCATTTCCTTTCATCTGCAGATCGTGTAATCGTGTACATAGTCCACTGTCAAAGGCAGTCTTCTAACTGGAGTGCCTCACTCATTCAGGATAGGATGTGTCCAACATTACCAATCAAGGTGTCTCTGTAGTTCTTTCTTACAAGTTGAGAATACTGTACATGGAACTCAGCAGTTTTCTATTGGGCAAGTAAAACTGGTATTGAACGTGTGACCCTGTATGTATGTATGTATGTAAGAGTGATTCTTGTTATTGGGGTTGTTTTTTATGGGGTATAAAACTCTTTTGAGTTCTGTATAATTTACTTCACCAACCTGGTACAGAACAGTACATGGGAGAAGACTGTCAGTTTCTTTAGTACAGTGCTCATTCTGTAGAAAACCCGATGCATATTAGTGCAGAGTGAGATGTAGATACTTACTGACTGGATGATTAAAAGAAGCACTAGGGAGTATAATGTGTATTTTCCCCTTTTTTCCACCCTTTATTTTCCATGTCAATTGAAACATGACAGAGGAAGCCTTATTTTCCCAAAGTAACAAGTTGCCTTCATGAGTGGACTGCCTAAAAGAGAGAGCAAGGGTTTGTGTTAGAGAAGCTATGTAAGGAAGCATAGACCAGAATTTATTAGAAAAAGTGGAGAGAAATAACAGCACATTCGAACTATATATATATATACCAGAGAATATTTGTTAATTTTAATGGTTTATGTATTTCTTTTTATATTATTTGGGTTTGTTTTGGGTGCTCTGGGTGAATGCATATGCAATCAGTTTTTATGTTTTGATTGAAAACATCCAGTTTGTCTTCATTAAATGTAAACCGTGTTAGCTAAACAAAATCCTCCAACAGTCTTCGGATACTGAAACACTAATGGAAGAAAACTGATTTTGGACTACACCATAATCTCTTTGCCTTTGCTCTTAAAGTTGCACATTCTCATTTATGAATGAATTACGTAACTAGCAATACTGTTTTTAATAAAAAAGAAAATGATTTCTCAGAGCCTTTGTTTGCCTCTCGTTGATCGCATTGCTGTGTAATGAGCCAGTCCACTGTGGAAATAAGCTCTGGAGCTCAGCTAGCAGATGGCTGTCACCTTAATGCGAGCTCTGTTCTGTTTGTCAGAGCGGCCAGCAGGTGTCGCTGTGAGACTCGAAGTGGCGGCGGCGACGTGATGAACGTCTGCCAGCTTGATTTCGGGAGTGAGGCTTTTGACATAGTTTTAAATGTGTAAAACACCTCTACTTGTGCAAAAGAAAAATACTGGTAAGCGCAGTTTTTAAACTACAACGCGTTAACGTTAAAGTTGTTTACTGAGTTGTGTTGCAGTGTGCTTTGCTAGATTAAATTGTCTTAATTAGCTAAACTTTCACTCTAATTAACCAAACTGAATAAGATGGACAGTGCATTACCATTTAAATGAATAGTTTTTCGCTCCAACAACTTTTTTTTTCTTTTTTCTAGCTAATGATTAATCACAACGGCCAGAAGATGTTTAATTACGTAATGATAAAAGTCAGGAGACTCACCAAAGAAATGTTTTGTCAAATTATACCCTTGGCTAAAGGAGGTCGGCTAAGGCAGAAAATATAATTGGAAGTGGGAAATATAACTTAAGCTACCCCCAAAAGTAGCTAAAACGTTTGTCAGACATTGACCAGTTTTACACCTCCACGCCGTGGTTAGCTGACACCTGCTAACTGAGGCTAACTACTCCTTACCCTGTTTTTAGAAAATCGAGTAGGGAGCTACATTTTTCAACCACGTGTGAAACGACAGTTTCAGTGATGTCAGTGCTGCTGTAAGTTAATTTATATATAAATGACCTCTATAAAATATTCTTTCATTCACGCTACAAGTTCAAAGTGCTTTACAGTGTGCGTAATAAAATAAGACAGAATAAAAAAAACATTTTAAAGTTAGTTTGATAAATAAAACATCAAGAACAACAATTTATTTATAGGCTAAGTTAAAGTTTTGAGAGGATGTCGCACTGCTACCAGCAGTTCCAGGTATTTTCTGTGTGTGTCTTCATCCAAGTCAGTCCTTTCTTCTTCTGTTCTTCTAATTTCCCAGTGTCTATGTGGACATGCAGAGGTACTGGTGGCCTGGCTATGAGATGCAGCTTCTTGGTGAGCTGCAGAGACAACAAAACAGTGCTGAGTTCTGTGATACTCTGTTACAAACTGAGGGTAAGGGTGAGCCGTGGTCAAGCATACTTAAAAGTTTGAAATGAAGGTAATGAGAAAAAAACAACAACCTTTTTATGGATTTTCTTTATAAGGTATCTCAGTGCCAACCCACAGTTGTGTCCTGGCAGCTCTCAGCCCCTACTTGTTTCAGAAGCTGTCAACGTCCCCGTCTCCTCCATGCGGACAGAAGCGTCGACTCCAGCTCCAGTCTGTGAAGGCCCATACCCTGCTGAAGGTGGTTGGTCTTCTGTACTCTGGGAAGTTAGAGGTAACAGGGAGCCTTCAGCAGAGTGATGTGCTGGCTGTGGCACGGCAGTTTGGAATCGCAGACTTAGCTGAAGGACAGAAAGATGGGATGGCGAAGGAAGGGCAATTACAGGAGAAGAGGCAGAGGGCCGGGAGTTGTAGTGACACTGGCTTTTATGGCAGTGAGAGGGGTGAAAGCAGGAAAATGTGGGATGCACAAGTTCAGGCTGAGCTGGCTGGAGAGAGAGAGACCTATTCTCCAGCTGAAAACAGAAGGTATGTTTCCACAGGTACACAGACCGTCAAAGCTGTTGAAAAGTCAGTGGAAAGTTTTGTTAATTTCTTTGGCCAAACTACACACTCGGCCCCAGAGTCTGTGCCTTCTGTAGCTCCGAATTTGGATTTTTCTGCCATGTGGGAACCTCAGATCATCACACTTGATAAACAGCTTTGCTTCACGTCTGGCCCAGTCATTCCTAGTATGCCCAATGGAGCAACAAATGATGGAGAATCTACATCAGGTCAATCCTCTGGCAGTGTAATAAATCCCAAGTCAATTCCAGCTTTGTCCAACAACATGACAGCCTTCCCTGTTCCCCTTACTGGGGACTCAAACCCCTTCACCAGCCTACGGTCATATGGGTGTGGGGACAGCACACAGGTGCTGGCTGAGAAAGCGACAGGACTGGAGAATGGAAACCCAAATGATGAGATGGCTGACAGAAGAGAAAACAGAGAGCAGCCCAGCCATGCCAGCAGAGATGAGACTGTAGGAGAAGAAAGAGGCAGGTGTGCAGAGGTGGTGCATGCACCTGCCAGTGAGGGAGTGAGGGGCCCTTCCCTGGTGAAGCAGATGCAACAGATGGTTGAGACCACACACATTTCTATCAAGGTAAGGAGTTGTGATACTTGTGCATTACTTAGTGAATAACCTGAAAGTGTTTTTGGCAGTTTATACATTAAGTCTAAAATATTAGCCCTCATCTGATTTCATTCCCTTGACTGGAATTTCTTATTCATGTGCAATTTTCTTGAAACTCGTGGCTCCTAATGTCGTTTGACTTTTGTGTCCCAATACACACTTTTAGTTGCATTTTATGTATGTAGTGTATGTAGTATTTAGTACCTTTTTTATATTGTTTTTCATTCGTCACTTGTGCATAAAATATATGTTCATAAAGCGTATAGGCTAGTCTTCAATTCTAGTTTGTTTTTAAGTCGTTTTAAAGTTATCTATGCATCTGTTCTTGTTCTTCTGCTCTGTGATACTTTTCCCTTGTAGATCAACAGAGATTATCTCATTGTATCCTGTGTTATAGAGTTGACAAATTAATGTAAAACTAAAGCTCAGCAAATTATAAAATGATGTTAGGAGACTTCACAGAAAGTGGTTATTTGGAAGAAAAGTTCATAAACAGCTGTGAGTGAGAAATTTGTCTACAAAACCAGACTTGGTCTTTACCTCTCTTCCTTGGGGGGGGGGGCAAGGAAGGCCTAACTGAGGCCTCTGTGAGGATTTTACAGGATAAGACTGGTCATCTTCTGTATTAATAATATTTTCAGCAGTCTATACAGAGACTAAAACTGACAATGAATGACCTCTTCTCATGGTTAATGTCCGTCGGCTCTCAGTCCTGAGTTAGCTTGTTCATCTGTGCGATAGACCTCTGCTGTTCTGCAAAACCATTAAAACACATTAGGGAAACGCAGTGCTGTGCTGGGTGACAGTGGTATTCATTACAAAACCCCGGACCTGACTATGTTGCCCCAAAGTTTCTGAGTGGCCATGGTTTCCTGAAGTTAGCACAGGTCAGTACTCAACTGCATGAGCTCTCAGTTTTGTTTACATTCCATTAGCTCCTCACGCTCAGGTTTGGGGTTTGCTAATAAAGAAATGTTACCCAGTGCAGCAGTATGTTTCACTGATGTTTTTAATTGTTTCTGAACAACATGGAGGTCTAGGTACAGGCGAACAAGCTAATATAGGACTGACCCACTGACAGACATTAACCATGAGTAGAGGTAAATCATTGTCAGTTTTTAGTCTGTATGCCTTCTTCTACTTTCGGCTGTTCCCCAGCGAATCATCTGTTTCCACCCAACTCTATCCTCGGCATCCACTATTGTCACACCAATTAATATCCTATATCTCCAAACCAAAAAATTCTAAAGTTTGTTTCATGACAGAATCATCTTGGCTCTGATGTGTTTGTGATGTCCTCAGACTGTCACGAGTGTGCAGGGGGCCTTGCTGTCTTTTCTCAGAATCACCATATTCTCTTCCTTCTGCACAGGTGAAGCTGAGGAGGAGAACTAAAGGAGAAACATGGGAGGTGGTAAGCATGCAAGACCCGGATGAGACTGAGCCATTTGCCTTTCAGAGACAGGTAGATAAGCGTGAAGCTAATTTATATACACACTTGTCAGCCAGTTCACTTTGATTTGATTAGATGCTGTGATGTTTTTATGTACTGAACAATTAATGTTGGTGGTGCAGCGACAGGCAGTGCTTTTATGGCATTGATCGTATTACTTAAATACCATCGAGTATCGAAAAATGCTTTTCTGAATCTTTATTTATTGTTGTTAATGTTAATAGAACTTAAGGCTGTGGTAAAATTGGTATTGAAAAAAGTATGATGTAGGCATAAGTCAAGGTACCGGTATCGAAAATTTTTGTATGATACCCAGCCCTAGAGACGGGTTAGAGGAGTAGCTCGTTGTTGACAGTAGATCATACAGCAAGATTTTAGTTTAAAAGAGAGTAGTCCACATAATACATGCATTTTGTATGAGAGTGGAAGACCTTAAAAGATAAACAAGTTTTACTTTGGACCGACTATGTAACTCTGTCACATTTCTAAATACAGCTACCGTACAAAGCTGGGTTGTACTAGTTCCCGTGCTAATTAACAGAACAGTACTGTTCACAGAGTTAGGGTGTTTATTATGCAACATACTCTGCGATCCAATATCGGCAGATGTTACTTTGTGAAAGTCCTGATGGACATGACGCAGGTTCTTTACAAAGCAGGGTAAGCGGAAGGCGAGATGGTGGCGTAGAGAGTGGTTTGGGTGGACAGGCTGACATTTTGGTGAGTTGTTTTAGTGAGTTGCTGCCTGAAGCCGGGCTCCACCTGGGATCAGTGGCATCACAGCCATGCTGATTCCGCATCGGATACATTCCCATTACTTCATTGTCTAAATGTCTAAAAACAAATCTACATCAGTAAAATGTCATGCTGGAGCATATACATTATGAAATAAAAGAGCTAAAACATGCCATATTATAATGTATCGCCAGTAATGCTTAACTTTTATACAGATGATCAGTTCTAACTTTGAATAATTAAAATGGGGATAAATTCATAAAAAAGGTAGGTGATAATATTAAAATGAGGTAAAATCTGGTCTTGATAAATGGCATTAACAGTATTAACTCATTTGTCTGCTTTTGTGAGCCTTGCTTGTTGAAAGAGGACCATGCTAATTGTTAACTGTGGTGACCAGTGTTGTTGTAAACTAGGAAACATGTGCAAGCCTCAAGTAAAGTCTGGTCAAAAGTTTATTGTAAACAGTATCAACTGAATTTTGTTTTAAAGCATTAACAATTGCAAGCACTTTAAATTGGGTGCACGAGTCCATAAAGACTGAAATAATAAAGATCGTCATAACACTAATTGTCCAACTGTGCTGTAATCTGTAGGAATGTGTTTAGTTTTGAATGGACCTTTGGGGAACTAAAATCAGATTTAGTGGGCGTTGGTGTCAAATCTTTATGCTGTGGCTGATTTTCTACTTTGTAATGGTTGTAAGTAGAATGCTAAAAACATTAAAACTGTATTGATTTCTTTGTTTATTTTTTGTGAAGGGTCACATTTAATGATTATTGTGAATTAAATCAAACTAAACTTAACAAAAAAAACCCTGTGATTCACTTTTTATAAGGATGGCTCCAACCACAGAGAGCCACAGACAGACCTTATGCCCACAACCCAACCTCCTCCCTCTGCTGTTGATGTGAGCGTAGTTTGTAAACCAGATGCCCCAATTCTTCTGCCTGCTACCACCGGCACCCCAAAGCTACCACCTCAGTCCAGTCCCTCCAGTGACAGTCAGCCTCCCTCCAGTGACTGCTTCACCCCAAACCAAAACGACGGTGTTGAGGCAGCCCTGCTACCCCAGCCTCAGGACTCTGTAGAGGAGTCCGACGAGCAGCTAGAGAAGCTGCTGGAGGACATCATGATAGGCCTCAACATCTTGCCCAACTTGGAGAGAGACTGCAAGGCATCTCTTCACCCCCAACCAAGCCATGACAGAGTAGAGAGCAGTTGCCAGGTCCTAGACTCACAGAATGAGGCAGAGGACAGTCAGATGCACACTGCTGTCAGTGCAGCAGTGTGTGCGCTTTGCCAGGATTTGGGGACACAAAGTCAGCAATCATCAGCAAATACAGGTATGTGGACAGATTAGTTTTCTTTAGATATGATTTTTGTTAATTGACAGAAAAGGTTTGCAGAACCATGATTGATTTTATTGTGCATCAGTTCAGATTATCAGTATTATTTATCATCTCTTAGTTATTAATTAGTTATGTTAAGGGGAAAAAAAACTAGGGGTGTGATGAGCTCTCGTACCACGAGATGTCGTGATAGTGAAATGTGATGATATTTATGGTCAAGGTGAAAACTGTTTCACGGTATCAGAACATAACAGAACAAGAGCAGTGGCCAGCATCAGCAGCCGCTGCCACTTTTATATGCTCATTTTGTGGAAAGGAGTTCAGTTCGAAGGTCACACATCACGGTTTCTCATATATTGATTGATTTGAGGTAAGTCCCCACAATATCAACACTGACCGCCACATATTGGTTTAAAATAGGTTCAATCCCATTCCAGTGTAGTGCCGTGAGTTGTGCATGTGCTGCTCACATATATACACACACAAACACACACACACACAAAAGCACGATAACCATGATGACATGCCATCTGTGGACAGCTCCTTTTCTCCATTTTACATAACGCTGTCAGAGATCCAACTCTTCTAGCATGTTATTAGCACGCTAGTAAGGCTAGCTAAGCCAACGTTAGGATACAGCTGTTGCTGAGGTCAGCACACTGTATATAGCATGGATGTACTGTATATGGACTGCTCTGCAAGTGGATAAAGTTAATGCTAGTTCTTTAACTCTGACGCTGACTGTTTGCCTCCTCAGTCCAGTGGAAAATTGAAAAATATGTGGAAAAAGCTGATCAGTGTGATTAGTGATCTAGTTGATTCGTTTCAAACATTTATTGGTACAGTTAGAAGTTATAAGCTGATGAACAGTTCTAAGGTCTGAAGAGACTCGTAAAATCCTATAGGAGAGAAGCCAGTTGAGTTTGTGGCAAAACCTTTCACAGTGCCTGCATATTGCTGCCTTTTACTGCATATGATCATTCATACCCAGAAAGCAGAATTTAAGCGACATTCGTTACAAGATGATTACCTAAAACATTTCAAAATGCACCTGCACTGTTTTGCATTTTGTGACTTTCAGTTCAATAAAATATTTTTCCAGTCATATATCGTCATTGAAGATTTCTCAAAAAGTGTTAAAATACCGTCTCATCTCGTGAGCGAAGTGTATTGTCACACCCCTAGAAAAAACTGAAAGATGTGTAGGCTTTTGTCTGTGATCTTTTGCTGAATTTTAGGCTGATGCTCAGGCCAGCACTGGCAGTGTGCCTTGCATGCTAGGGAGTTCCTGCAAAGGAAACAAGTAGCCGTTTTTAACAAGGGAGAGATTAATTGGGATAACTATGATTATTGGATGTTTTTATGGTTTTATCTTCTTTATTTACAGGCCCATATATTCTAAGTTTGAACTATCCAAACCTGCAGCCAGTTTCAGGCAGTGTGTTGTGGGTGTTGGATCTCAGAGTCTGATATTTTCAAGGTCTCTCCTGTGGCCCTCTGTTCTCTTACTTGTCGAAATAGATTTTTTTGGGGGATAATTTCAGAGGTAGAGACAAAACCAAATAACCCCGGTTTGTTTTATTGTCTTTTGTGTTTAATTCAGACTATCAGTACACATATGAAATATTCATATGCACCAACCATTTTTCCTGTTCAGTTTTCAGATAATTCTGGTACATTTCAACCTGGCTTCTTGCTCATAAATGTGACCATTGTGATTTTATGGATTGTGCTAACTCAGCACATGCCTCTGTAGTGATGTGAGGCTTGCACAAAGCATTGTATATCACAGCAAATTGTGCAATATCATTAGATTGCTTGCTTTGCTTCAACAACAGTGCAAAGCGTAGATGGTAATTTTACTACTACAGAAGAAAAAGTACAGCTCGCAGTTCAGAACCAGATTTAATAGCAGTTAACAAAATCCTGTAGTTGCCAGCTGGTTTTCTATCAATTGACCAATTGTTTCAACTCTAATTTCAACCTCTCTATATTAAGCACAGAGCAGCACTTGTCAAATAACTCTGAATCTTGTTTTATTCAGTGCACACTAGTGGACTGTAGTGTAGTCGGGCACTAAAGCAAACAAGAATCTCAGATCTTAGCTCAAGTTTCTTTCTGTTTCATAACAGTCCTCCACTCCATGAGCTCACCAGCACTTTCACTGGTGCCTGACTTTAGTCTCTGTCCACAATCTAAATGCCCACACTGTATGTCTCCCACTGTCCACAACTCCCACCCTAACACCAGCCACCTCGGCTTTGTTAATTCAAGATGGACTGACAGCAGTCTTCCCACCTGTTGTGCAGGTTCCCCCTGTTGTTTCACTGCTCACAACCAGCCAGATTCAAGCCTGTTTGTACAGCCCAGTGCTGTGCTTCTCCAGCAGCAGCAGTGCTCTGCTCAGTATCACTCATCTGTTATGTCCATGGGTCACAGAGATGGGCTGAGCCAGCAGAGCATGCCACTGACTAAAAGCCAAGAACATCTACAACCTGAAGAACCAACAACAAGACCGGCCTTACCTTCAGCTCTCTTCTCTGCAGGGCAGAAGCTACATTACCCAGCATTCCAGGAATCATCTTCACAAGACAATCAGCACGCCTTTGAGTTTGTACCCCTGATAACTGGAAATGAGACACAGTCCTTGCATACTGTCTTCTTACCTTGCATGGATGACTTGGGGCTTCCTCGATGCCTCTCTCCATTAGGGCCATGCACCTCAGCGACAAAGCATCATGCTGCCCTCAACAACCCAGCAAACCTTGGTTATAAAATTCAGCAGCAGCCCTCTCCACACGTGCAACCTTGGCTCACAGAAAACCCTGGATCACTACAGTTTCCTCTGAGTGCCATCACTCACAGAAAAAATGCAAGCGTGTCTTTATCGCAAGATACAAAATGTAGCTGTTGGACACAGCGATGCCAGGAACATCTGGCACCGAATCCACAGAATGGGGGGACCTGGACAGAATCCTGTGCTGTGAAAAAGGTGAAACGTGGCACAACAATATGTGCTGGTCAGCAGAATGGGAAGGGACTGGAATATGACCCTAGGAAGATGAAGGAAAGTTTAAAATGCAAAGAAGGTGACATGATAGGGGATGCTATAGCACCTAAAAAGAGAAGGCACCCAAGTCATTCACAACATGCTGCCAATTATCCCATTGCATACAAAAATGTAAAAGTCAGTGATGGAACAATGGGTCAGATGAACTTGAGCGTTTGTTCAGTCAGTTTGTCAAGCAACAATGTGCTGGTGAATGAAAGAGAAATGGCCGCATCATCCATCACAAGACGTTTGAGGGATTCTCAGGTGAATTCTGACTACACTCGCAACAGGACCAGGGGATTTCTGAAAAGATCTCATGAGTCATCCAGTGATACAAGCCCTGAAAAATCTTTAGTTCCAAAGTCTCTGGCCCGCAAAGTTAAGATGGTGAATAAAGAAGTTGTGCTTCCCAAACAGAAGTGTGGAAGACTGCAAAAGAGAAAGCATGAGGAGTGTGCCCCTAAAAATCCTGCTGTCGCTGAAAATGAGAGCCACAATGGAGAAGGTCCGCAAATTAACAAGGATTTGCCAAAGGAGGATTCAGATAAGGGAGACAAAGCAAAGATAAGGTGCATAAAAAGGAGGGGAAATAGAAGTACAGAAGTGAAGACAATTCCGCTGAAGACCATAATCACTGAGAGCACTGGCAAGTCTGACACAAACAATAATGACATAAGCCCAGCCTTAAGAAGCATTGGGACAAGAAGGAGGCCACAAATGATCACTCTGAAGGGGTCTCAAAAGCTTATCGGCTTGCATCACTGTAAAACACGAAAGTCAAAAGAAAACCTGGAGACCAAAGGAACTGTAAGAGATGCAGAAAGTGAAGGGGCAGCTAGTAGAGAGAGCACATTTCAAGAATCAACTGGGGAGATGACAACTGTCACACACATTGCTCATCCTCAGGACGGGGACGGAGGTGTAGAATCCCCCATTGTCGTCAGTGTCCTGGTTGATGAAAATCACAGCCATATTTACAACAAAGAAGAAGAGACAACACGGCGAAATGACACAGTCAGCTCAACTAGTGAGACCATTTTGTTTGGTGATGAACCGGTGTTGTCCTTTGAAGACGTGACCAAGTTAGCAGCTGAGACGGAGCAGCCTCTGAAGAGTTCTGCTGAAGGTAAGGTGTTTGGTCTTGGAGTCAAGCTTGATTATGGGTACATTAAAAATCCCATGTACTGGGTACAATGAAAGTAAAAGGTTTATATCAGAAACCTGGGAAAAGCAGAAATCCATCTAATGGTTAGGTTTAAAAAGAACATCTTTTACCTGCTTTATGTACAGTGCTTGAATAAATGAATTTAGTAACTTTACATACTTAAGTACTTTTTAACTTATTTGCTTTGACTTGTAGATTCCTGCCAGTTCAATAATATTGTGGTGAATTGAATTTTGTCTGTTGTGCTGCGAGAACACCAAGATATGTGCATTTTCTTAAACATTGTCCCAGTTGTGATCTACGTAATACCCCTCATTTTTCTGCAGGAAAAACCTGTGATGCAGGGGTGTTGAATACAGCAAAGCAGACGGATGTAAAAAAGACAGGCTTGTCTCACAATGACACTCATCCTCAAGAAAACAAATTGGTGTCAGACCACAACTTCTGCCCTCAGATCCCTGAGAGAACTGGTCCACCTTTGTGGGAAACTGGTGGGATCAGCGGGACCCCAGGCTGTGGTCAAGAAGCAGACGAGGAAGTAGAGGTAGATGTTCTGCTTTGCTCCCCAGACATGATAGCTGAGACAGAAGAGTGTGAGCATGGACATAACCTGAAAATAAATCTGGATAATGAGGAGGAAGAAGATATGAGCGAGATTGATGTGACTGGAGATGATGGCATAGTTTTATACCATGTTGTGTGAGTAGTTCTGCACTGTGATGTGCCAAGCCTGACATTCTCTTTGTTCTGGTTTTATGAATGTTCATAGAGATGCCAGATGAAGTTCAGTGTGTGGGGAAGTTATGATGTAATAGATTTGTATATCCTTTGTTTTCTGTTGCTTTTCTTCATCATCGGTGTCTGGCGATTGCAAGCTATGTTCAAGTAACACATTTACAGTATTCACTTCGTTCAATGTCCAAGGTTTAGATGCTTGTTTAATATTCATTAATATGCTAAAGTAAGTCTGGGAAAAGAGTTCATAATGTTCTTTACATTTACCATTTATCAAATTTATTTTACATTTTTGTGAAATTTAAATTCTGACTGTATAAGGTAAAAGCACTTAAGGCATTGTCCTTTCCAAGTAACACTTGTAGAAAATAAGCCTTATTTTGAGCCTGTATAGTGCATTGTTTTATTTAAAATGTGTAATTATGGTTAATTAAAAACAGTCATTTCATTCAACTGCGTTTTTTGTAATAACACCACGATTTTACCTTGGTAAATATAACTGTCGAAATACAGAGAGCGGCCATTAGAGGGCGCACTGTTTCTGTCCTCCGATGAAATCCAACTTTATTGACAGCGGAAATGGGGGAGGAAACCCTCTACTCGTGTTGTCTTGCAGAGTTGAAGGTGACAGAAGAAGAAGCGGGCGGGTTTCTTGTTGGTAGTCCGTTGCAGAGGGGAACTAAGACGGCGCGCATGTGGTTGTAGCCACGTGTGAGCATCACTGAAGGGCAGATATGGATCCCATGAAGGCACAGCAGCTGGCAGCGGAGCTGGAGGTGGAAATGATGGCTGACATGTACAACCGGTAAAGCCTAAACAAGCTAACTGCTAAGATATCGGTCCATTGTGCTCTTTCCCGTCACTAATAAACAGTCCCATGGTCTTCAGTCATAGTCTTTATTAAACTTAGCACTGTGTGACGACAACTTATTTGATGCTCTAATAAATGCTAAAGACATTAAGCAGAAATTCCACACACGATGCTTTCAGCTTCTCAGAAGTGAAAATCTGGTGCTTCCCTTTATCCTCGCTGTAGTCAGTTGAATATCTTTGTGTTTGGCCCGTTGGTCCAATAAAACACGGTTCTAGGACATTATAGTGGACATTTGTCATGATTTTCTGGTGTTTTAAAGGTCCAGTGATTTATCAAAAATATAAAAGAATCAGTAAATCAATAATGAAGATCACTATTGTTGCCCCAGTGTCACCAAAAGTATAGAAAAGATGCTATAATCTGATCAAATCTGTCTAGTTTGGGATTTTAACAGTCAAAATAGTGTCACGTTTTTTAGATGATTCCAGCAGATGGTGCTGTCACAGTGGCTATAATTGAGTATTGGTAGGAAACCATATGAAGGTGCTCAGGCATAATAAAATATACTCAGAAAAGTGTCTTCACATGGAACCATATTGATCTTCACACCTGACACTTTTTTTTAGAATCTGACTGAGTCCTGGCTTCCTTTCCCTCCCAGAATGACCAACGCCTGCCACAGGAAGTGTGTACCGCCTCATTACAAAGAGCCAGAGCTGACGAAGGGTGAGTCGGTGTGTCTGGACCGCTGTGTGGCTAAGTACCTGGACCTTCACGAGAAGCTAGGCCGCAAGCTGACAGAGCTCTCTGTCCAGGACGAAGAAATGATGAGGAAGGCAGCCGTCGGGAGCGGACACTGATAAAAGAAACACTAGTCTAGGGTTAGCACATCTGCTTTCTCTAAGAGAAGAGACTGGTGTTTTCAGTGTATGGGTGGGTAAATAAAAAATAAAAAAAAAGTGAAATAAATGCTTTAGGGGGTCCACTGAGAGAAACTGCCTTCTCTCCTGCAGTAGAGGATGACACCATGGACTGAAGCACTCTGCAACAGCAGCTTATGTCTTAAAACTGCTCACAGTGATTCACCAGCCTCTGAATCTGTCCAGTTGTTTTACATTCAGCTTGGCCTGGTCTTCAAGAAGTCACCTGAAAATTGGCTGGAAAAGAATAAAGGCCTAGGACATGTAATGCTATTCCTATGTCATACTTTGTGCTTGTTTTCAGCTGTATGGAGTGGAGAAACTCAAATACAATTCTGAAGCTTTGTGGTACCAAGCATTTGGTGTACACACACAGAATGACCTGATTTTAACCTTTGATCCCAAATTACTCTGACGTAGAGTGATTTGTAGTTTTTGAAGGAGGGTGAAGGCCAACTTGAAGTGGTGACAGCACCGTGTTTAAGTAGAAATACATTTTGTCTGTTGTGAAGACAGTGTTGTCAGTTCTGTACAAACTCTTGAAACATCAGGGCGTGCACTGGATTAATTGTGTATGGCAGTGTAGTGTGAGTCAAAATGTCTTTTTATACAGTGCATAGTTTACTCGTGTTCAGCCCTGAAACAGACTCATAGCTGGGTCGTTCTAGTTATATGGACTTGTGTTAAAGACGGGCTGAACTTTGCTCATCTTTCATGCATGTGTACACTGTCTGAACCATGTGTTGAATTGAGATGTTTTCCTGTGCTGACCACTGTGTGAACAGTGTTGTAGCTTTTAATTTGCATATATATTGTTTCATCTGGGTTATTTACTCCAATTAAACAATGTCCTAACGAG